AACAGGCCCTTAGGGACTTGGAGTTGAGACAGACGCATTTAGCCCATGTTTTGCCCTCATTTTCTAAANAAAAAAAAAAAAAAGAATACAACTATCCTTTGAAATCATCCTTCATAGTAACTCCAATGCCCTTTGAAAAAAAAAACCTCCAATGTCATCTTAATTAACATTTGAGCTAATCTTGTCTCAATTCTAATCAATTCAAAATTAATATAAATTTTGCTAAGTAATATTTTACAATTTATAAAATTTATAATCACCAAATGACAGACGCCAATAGATAGTAAAAAATAAACGTTTTAAGCTCACCATCACCTAAATATAAAAATGAAGAATGATGCTATTCAACCTCATTGATAGATTGACGACTTTTCGAAGAATGTCATACAAGCTAATGTTCTATTAAATATGTCTCACGTGGTAATTATTTAGCCACGCCAATTATAATATATTGTTAAAAATCCAGTACATTTTTTTCTTCTTGAATGTGCGCATTCATACCTTTTTGAATATTCCACGAGCTTCAAAGTCTTTTAAAAGTATTTAATTTAACCTCTATGAAAAAATTATTTTTTAATTCCATAAAAATCTTTAAAAGTTTAAACTGAATTATAGATGGCAAAATTATCCGTCCCGTACAAAATACAATAAGGACAAAAAATATGGTCCCCGTTTCGGATTCTCTCAACCCGCCTCGAATACTTTTTATTTTATTTTAATCACACCTTTTCAATTTAAATTGCATATAAAATTTTAAAATTAAAAAAAAATGAATAATTAGCTAAATGGAGTTTTTTTTTTTTAAATCCCCACTCTCGTCTTGTCCCACTTCCCTAAGGGCATGGGGATAGTAATGGGCACTCCCACCCCCGACAGATTGCTTTGCTATTACCAACCAATAAAATTCAAACACGTTGTGAGATGTGGGCCATTAACTGAAGATTTGACTCGGGGAGCTTGCAATAATATTTGGACCCACCTGCATTGAACCGTCATACGTGGAACACGTCAGACTTTCAAATGAGCATTCTTTTGGAATTCGAAAAGGAACCCGAACTTTACGTTTATTTTTATTTAGCTCACGAACTTTTAATTATTTTAAAAATGTCCGAATCCAATGCAAAACTTACAAAACTAACGTATTTTTTTTTTTTGCATACCCACCCAACAAAGTTATCACTTTTGCATCCCCTTCTTACGCCAATGCTTCCACCAGATTAATAGAAAACAAGTTTCTCTTCTTTCTAAAACCTATGCCGATGTTTCAAGCATGTTCATTTTTATTTCTCTAATTTACAGTGGAATTGAACAACGAAATCAACAAACTGCAAAATTGGAATTGATTTTTCGAAATCGTTGATTTGGATCTACGTGGATCTGTCGATGCTTTGATTTTGAATCGAACCAAACCGCTTCAAAGTAATTTGGTTTAGGTTTATGTTTTAGTATTTGTAAATCGTTTTAAACCATCAAATCATTTACAAAAATAAAATAAAATAAAAAATTGAAAATAAATTAATCGATAATTTATCAAACCCGGTTAAAACTAAACACGTCCTGTTAAAAATATACATCCATGTTAGACAAAGCTCTCAATTAAACTCAATATCTAATAGACAATTATTCATCTCAATTGATTAATTAAATTATACTTAAATACATATCAGTCATCACAACTGCGAATGTTAAACATTGAAATTGGGTGGAAGTGTTGAATAACTTTTGTTGAACAATGTTCATCGATCACCCATTACAATTGAGTAGAGAATTAAAACATAGATTCTAAATTCAAACCTAAACATTTCTTTTTCTTCTACTAATAATTTTCTCTAATTTCGCCTAAATTTTCAATTCATTTTATCCATTATTATTGTTATTGTTGTTGTTATTGCTTGCTGTATTTTATTGATAGTTATATTGTTCTGTTCTAATTTGTGTCAGACTCCTTTAGATTTTCAGCTGACAACATTTTTTTTTATTTGCGTTTCAATTTTGTGGTCAGGTCACTCAATTAATTATTTATATTTTAGCTTGGTTTTTAGACTTTAATTTTAATTGCTAGAGTGATTTAGTGGATTACTTAAATTGTTGTTTTGAATATTTGATTAATAAACATTTCGACATATTGCTTTGGTGAAAAATTAAATACAAATAATTATAAGATTTTCCCTCAAATTGTTAAAGATATGTTAACTATTCAACATCCACAGTTGTTTTTGGATCTGCATTCCCTATTGGAGGTCGAAGCGTAAATAAAAATTGGTTACATAGTAACAAGGAATCAATATTGATTCGTCAATATTTGAATGGGGTATAAGCATTGGATAATTCACAAAAAGTTATAGAAATTATTATCCTAATTTAATATTTCTATTCATTTTTGTTTTTTAATTTTTTTATATCATTTAACTATAATTAATGAATTCACGTTCTATATTTTTCATCTTTATAAAGATAATGAATCATACGTTACAATTGCAAATGTTAAGCCAATTAACATCGACTAAGAGTTAAAATGTTTCATCACGTCGCACTATAATGAGTATGTATATGGACATATTTGAAAAAAAAATTGAAAGTTCAAGTACCACTTATGTACATTTTTTTTTTCTTGAATGTGCGCATTCATACCTCAAATTTCAAAGGCACTTTAAAATGAATTTTGCCACTTATACATAAAAAATGTACATAAGTGATTATCGAAATTGACCAAAGGGAAAAGAAGTAAAATTATTTCTTAAGAGCACGTGGGCCCATTCCGGACTTGAAATGCCAAATTAATTTCCATTTAATCTCTCCCAAGAAAACAATAAACTTTGATTTCCCAAAATGACCACGCCAGCCACAAGACTTTGGTTATTAGTCGGCATATTTGATTCCCGCATAGATCGAGTAGATAAGGGACACGTCCCTCACCCATCCCATCCCACCTCCCACGCACCCTATGCCTGATCGTATATACGTACAACTGTATATACGCCTTTTTATACGGAGGACACGTGTTGGGTGACGTGTACATTTGCCTTGGCGCTCTTCTTTCTTCCTTCTTCTCTCTGAAATATCGGAGAAGAGAAAAAAAAAATACTTTTGTTTTGCTCTGTGTGTGTGTATGTTTTTGTTTTTCTAGAGAGAGAGAAATGCAAGGAGTTTAGAAGTTTGGAAATTCAGAAACTGGGGAGTTTTGGAGTTATTTTGGTTGGAGACTTTCAGGTATGTTAAATTTTGAGCATTATTTATGGATTTTTGTAACTGTCGGTGAATTGAAGTGGAAATCTTTCGTAGTATGGTCTGAATTGCCTGAATTTGGGTGGTGTTTCCTGCTGATCATTGTGAATTTTCTTTTGATTTCTCCTTTTCTATTTCTTTTTGTGAATACGAAGAGTTTTGATTTGAAACAGATGGATTAAAGCAAAATTTTAATATTAAGCATTCTGATTGAGAAATCTTAAGGAATAGTCAGCAACATAAGTTTAATTTTCCTTTTGATTTTTGTTTTGGAATTTTAGGTAGATGACAGGATAGTTTTGTCATTTCATTCTTGCTTGTTTTGGATGGTTAACAGTTACTAGAACTTATGTCGAAGTGTCAGTGTTGGGTGGAAATATGAAAGGACGATACTGCCATCAGCTTATGCTCTGTTAATGTTAAGTGTCTTTGTAGACCTAAGAATTATTACTTTTAATCAGGGTAATTATCGTAATGGGTAGCATCAATTTAGATGAAATACAGTCATTTATTAATTGGATCTGAAGTGTTTGGTTGGGAAAGGTTGTCCGCAATTCATTTTTCTAACAAATTTGATCTCAATAAATACGCAAGTCTAGATATTTATTTAGGCTGGATGAACATCCTGGATTTCTTTTTAAGATTTCTGGCATCAAATTGACAAATTTTGAGTCCTATTCGCAGTTGATTGCATCTGGAATTGAATTCCTTTATATCCTTTATATCATTGTGATAAAATCCCAATGACTGTTTTTCTAATTGATCAAGAAAAACCTAGATATAGCAGTTAAAAGTTTAATACCGTAAAAATTATATTCCCTCCGTCCCAATTATATAAACTTGTTTCGTTTTTCACACGGATTAAGAAAGCTTCTTTAATGTCATTGGAAAATTAATTTTTGCCAAGATCTTTCCTAATTTACCCATATTTAATTTTCAGTATGTAAAACTAAATTATCGTTGGAACTAATAAAGAATTTGAAAAAAAAGAACAAATGAGAGTTGTTCCATTTCCAAGAAGGGGTAAATGTGTGTATTTTGATGATTTCAAGAAGATGGCATATTAAGTGGAGAAAATTTAACGAGGACATATTGGTAAAGGAATACAACAAAATATTATACATTAGGAAACATACCTATATATTTGGGACAAGAGAAAAAGGAAACTCAGCCAATATAATTGGGATGGAGGAGTATATCAATATATGTATGGGAAATTTTCCTCCTCAAAAGCCATATTTTGCTTATGCTTTCATTTTAATTGATAACGAGTGGAAAACCTTGGAAAAGAATTAACAAAAAGGAGGTAGGAAGTAATGAACGTGACATGATATGAGAGGTGTCATTAAGTGCGCATTTGGCATTAAGTAATGGACATGACTGTGTAATATAAGAACAAGATTTTTAGCTTCTTTTTCCACTTCATTATTGTTGAATGCTATCAATCCCCTCTACCAAGCATTCCATAAGTGTATCCGCGTGGTTTAGCTGAAATGAAGTGAAGTTTCATGTTTTTGGTCTTATAGGGTCAAGAAACTTAACCATGTTCAAAGAGGACATATATGCTGCCTTTCTATTCTGCTATTGTTGTTTCTATTAGTTATATACTTGGTTTCTGAAGGACATTCTGTACTCGTTTTTGCATTATTAATCTTGAGCTATTAGTCGCAAAGATGCTTTTATACCTCTTGACAATGTTTTGTGTGGTTTTTCCATCTTGCAGAAAGATCAAAAAGATTTTCTTGTATCGTTGATTGATTGGGTTGCGCACTATCATGGGAAACAGTGAGGAAGGGGAGTCTGTTAAGCCCGAGAAATCATTGTCACCTGCAACGGTAAGCCTAGAATAATCGTTACAGTAATTTATTAGTCTATGCACATCCTTCAGACAAGTAGGAGTGTGTATCCTGCCAGAATTCCCTCATCTTACGGGATCGTAGTCTCACTTCTGAACGCAAAATCATTTTATTGTTCTTTGTCCTTCAGCCTTTGTTTCCTTTACTACATCAGTTGAAGTCCATTTCTGAGTAGATGTAAAATGTATTTCACCTTGACAGGACCAGAATAATGTTCACATGTACCCTGATTGGGCAACAATGCAGGTTGTTGTCTCTATCCAAGCGCTTTGTTATAGTTGGGATTAAATTAAATCATATTACATTTTATCATTATTTTCAGACACATTGATGCTAATTATTAGATAGTTTAATCTTCAGGCATATTATGGTCCCCGATTCGCTGTACCACCATATTTCAACTCTGCTGTTGCTGCTGGTCATGCTCAACCTATGTATATGTGGGGACTACCACAGGTAGTCTTTAAACTGTATACACGCGGGCACACACACACATTTATGTAATTATATTTTCTTTGAGGGTGGGGGGTGGTATGCAGTTTCCGCTTGATTCTATTATCATCATTTGAAGCCATCTGGAACTGTGCATTTGAAATAATATTAACACTCACTCCTTTATGTTTCAGTCTATGATGAAACCTTATGGGGCTCCATATGCGGCATTCTATGCTCATGGAGGAGTTAATGCACATCCTGGAGTTCCCCTAGTAAGTTTCATGTTTCTTGGACTTCAGTATGCGACTAAATAAGATCCTGATATCTGTGAAGGGACTGTCTGATCACCTCGTCCTGAAGGAGCCTCTACCAAGTCAGTTATGTGTTCTAAATGCAATTGCAATAATAAAATAGCCTGCTTATATTGATCATTATTTTCCTATTACTTTTTAATTTCCCTTGCAAGATACCTACGTTGTGTGGAGTGTTCCACCACTATTTGGCATTTTCTGTAAAACCTTAGAATAATAATATGTTGGACTGTGTGGAACTTAGCCTATATCTGACTCGTGTTTAGAAACATTCACAACACTTTTTATCCACAGTAAACAGGACCCACAAGTATTATCAACCTATCAACCACTCATTTCTATCATTTTCTTTATAAACACTTCCCAAACATACTTTTAATTGTAATGGGCTCTTCTCTATTATGGTGAAAAACCTGTAGCGGCTAGTGGACAAAGCTTTTACATTTGAGGGTAAACCCCTAAAAGTCTGTGTGCTCTGCATGTTTTGCGATTGTAATAGCTCCCAAGTTAGTTAAGAGTTTAGTCATAGCCACCTTTAGATGCTTTGATTATTTTTCCGTATGTGCATACTTTAGTAATAAGAGCTGCATCCTTAGGGGTAGATTAACTTTAAGCTTCATAGTAGTATAATTGTTCGGAACGGGATGTAATATAATGACTATGCGGTCATGTAGGCTGGTACATCTTTCAGCACGGACACACGGGCGAAGTCTTCTGGTAACATGGATGGAGGCATGGTGCAAAAATTGAAAGAATTTGATGGGCTTGCATTCTCAATTGGCAATGGCCACATGGAAAGTGCTGAAGGTCAAGTTGATCAGAGAGCCTCACGGAGGTTTGTTAACATATAATGACAGCTGTGTTGCTTGTACTTGAAAGTAAATTATAATCTTATACGTGCTTTTGGCGAAGCTTAAAAGTTACTTTTACATATTTTGACTTTTTTTAGCTGAACATGCTCATACTGTCAAAAAAGCAAGATTTTGTACTGAAAATCTGAAAGCAGAAGTTCAAGTAACTTATAAACAATCTCAAAATTGTTAGGCAAAAGAATTTACTTGTAGGAACTTTTAAGCTTAGCTGAATGTGCTCCCTCTGCCTAAATATCCTGATTCTTAACTAACTAGAAAATATAAATTCCTTACTGGTTATTTAGATATTCCGAACTGAGTGGAACATTTCATGATTCCTGAACAGTGAGGAGACTGAAGGTTCTAGTGATGAGAGCAACGGAATTACAGCTGGGGTAATGGTTTTTTTTTATCATATAGAATTGTCATTTGTCAAGAATATTAGTTTAATTTTTTGTAAGTGTGGAGTGTATCATATCTTTATTATTGCATCATATTCTAGGCTGGTCAGAATGGAAAGAAAAGAAGCCGGGATGGAAGTCCTAACAACAGTAAGCTTTCTTTTCTAAGTAAAATTGTCTTTAATGGAAATATAATTCCACTAACCGCCGCATCTTGGTAGACTTCTCTTTTCCTTTTTCCTCATGGATTGATGTCTGTATCCGGCACTTATTCAAATATAGAAATTATTTTCATTTTTGGTTGCATGGCTATTGTGAATAATTGTCAGCAGAACATATGACCAACATGCAAATGTATGTGCGTGATTTTCCTTAGTAGTACTTGCATGTTTAGCTAAGCTTACTCATAAGTAAATATTAAGTTTCAAAATAAATTATTTTTTTATTGGTCAAAGTTAAAAATATGCAAGTTTTATTTTTACATTAAGGTAAGAGTTACTATTAAAATAAATAACTTTCGTGCTCTTAGTCTTCTTTACATCTGGTATATCTTTCGTTTTTAAGTCCTTGATTAAGTGTTCTTCTGTCGAAACAAATCATTTGGCTATGATGCAAGCATTATGAATAGCCGCTTTTTTTATTACTGAATATTGCACAATTCATTTTCCACAATTTACTATTAACTAGTTTAAGTTGAATAGGTAGGGAAGTAGCTTAGTTTCTGATGCTTTAATATTCTGAAAGCAGATGGAAAGATTCAGACACAAAGCAGTATGATTCCCAGCACAGAAGTTCAATGTTCTGAGAAAACCATGGATGCGATTGTGACTGCAGTTGATGCATCTGAACAATTGATAGGAAACGTTACTACAGCATTGGAGCTGAAAAATACTTGTAACACAAATGTGAAGCCCAAATCAACTAGTGTTCCACAATCTTGTCCACCAATGCTGAATGAAGCCTGTGTGCAGGTACATATTAAACCCATTTCCCCTTTCATTTTCATCCACGCTTTCACTTTTTAACTAATAAGATCTTTTACTGAAAATAATTGGAATTGAAAATTGGTCCTGACTTTTTTTAGCTTTAAGAACACTGGTAATATCCATGACGAAAATCAGAAGCTTGAGTGGACCTGATGTGGCTTGCACAAACTAATTCCGTGATTTTTTTTTTGTGCCATGATAATATGGTATTCCCGATGTGCATTTTAAATTGTACTTTACAGAATTATCGAGAGATGAAACGGGAAAGGAGGAAACAGTCTAACCGGGAATCTGCAAGAAGATCTCGACTGAGGAAACAGGTATGGATATGACTCGAGCATATGTCATATCATTTGACTGTTTCTTGGACCATATGATTCTATTTTATCTCCAAATCTGTTACTTAAAAAACTTATTTTTCTGTCAGCACATCTTTAAGCTTTTTCTTTATTAGTTTTTTTTGGTTTGACTTCTTCTTGTCCAGGCTGAGACCGAAGAACTAGCTATGAGAGTAAATGCACTAACTTCCGAGAATCTGACTCTTGAGTCAGAGGTAAATAAATTGAAGGAGAGTTCAAAGAAACTGAAGCTTGAAAATGCTACATTAATGGTATGGCCCTTTTGATGTGTTTCTTTTTACTCTCTTTCTATCATTAGTAATGGTAATATCTATAAGCTTAAAAAATGAGTAAACATTCACAGGAGAAACTGAAAAATGCACAACTCGGACAATCAGATGATGCAAGTCTATATGAAATTGATGACTTAAGGATGAAACCGATTGGCACAGTCAACCTACTGGCAAGAGTTAACAACTCGGGTTCTGTTGACGTAAAGGATGAGGAAAATGACACGTATGAGAAAAAAAGCCCCAGAGCAAAGCTTCACCAACTTCTGGATACAAGCCCCAGGACTGATGCTGTGGCTGCTCGTTGATCTCCATCTGTAACTCTAACCACTCGACCCTAGATGATGTTGTAATTTTGGCATAAATTAGAAGCCCAAAATTACCGCTAATTAATAGAATATAAGATAATTTTCACTTTAACCGAAGGAAGACGAGGTATCATCAACAACTGGGTTTTATTTTACCCCTCAGCCGTTGCAAAACCCGAGATAGAAGACAAGTTTTTAAAGTTCTAAGAGTGATGGGATGACTACAAATACGTAATGTATACTGGAGAGACTTGGGAACTATGTTTTGAGAATGTTGTGAAAGGATATGAGGTTTATGTAATTGTTTAAAGAGCTTTTAAAATTATGGGAAAGATTCCTCTGCAAGTAAAAGCACGGCTACTTATTTTCTGATATTATGTGATTCTGGACATCTGGTTGTATGAAAATTTAAATGCAAAACTTTAGGTGTTGTGTAATTGTTGATCATTTGGCTCAGTGGTTCTATCTTACCGAATTTATCTTCATTCATAGGTTCGAGATCTATATATGAATTGAAAGGTTCGAATGATCAATTGAAAGAATCAATACGTCTTCAAATTGTTTTATTGAGAGATGCTTGATGTACACACTTGAGTGTACATCATGCATTACACTCATCTCACAATGTTAGGGGGCCCGCAATTTAAAAAATCACGGACCCCATACTCCATTGTGAGAGGAGTGTAAGTCTCTTATTTTTGTTTATTTATAAAAACGAAAACCGTTCTTATTGGACAGTCAAGATACTTTTCGGAAATTGGAATTCTTGATCAATAGAGGAATAATATTACCTTTTTGTTCAATAAAATAAGATACCAAAGTGGATGATTGACTCATTTCATATTACAGTAAACGTATATTTGCAATTGGGAAAAATTCAAAAGTCAGGTGTTAACTTTGACACAATTCAATTTTCAGGTGTCAAGGTTCAAAATGCAAAACTCGGGTATTTATTTATTAATAAAAAATATTTTTATTAATTAATTATTAAATATTTAATTTTAATATAATATAATTAACTCACCCCAC